TTGAAACACTGAGCAGATGTGGAGGATGACAGCAAAGGGACGTTCAGTTCTGTCCACAAATTTGCTATAAGATTGAGGTCAGGGTTTTGTGATGGCCACTCCAATACCTTGACTTTGTGCCACAACTTTGGAAGAATATTTGGGGTCATTGTCCATTTGGAAGACCCATTTGCGACCAAGCTTTAACTTCCTGACTGATGTCTTGAGATGTTGCTTCAATATATCCACATAATTTTCCTTCCTCATGATGCCATCTATTTTGTGAAGTGCACCAGTCCCTCCTGCAGCAAAGCACCCCCACAGCATGATTCTGCCACCCCCGTGCTTCACGGTTGGGATGGTGTTCTTTGGCTAGCAAGCTACCCCCTTTTTCCTCCAAACATAACAATGGTCATTATGGCCAAACAGTTCTATTTTTGTTTCATCAGACCAGAGCACATTTCTCCAAAAAGTACGATCTTTGTCCCCATGTGCAGTTGCAAACCGTAGTCTGGCTTTTTTATGGCGGTTTTGGAGCAGTGGCTTCTTCCTTGCTGAGTGGCCTTTCAGGTTATGTCGAAATAGGACTCGTTTTACTGTGGATATAGATACTTTTGTACCTGTTTCCTCCAGCATCTTCACAAGGTTCTTTGCTGTTGTTCTGGGATTGATTTGCACTCTTAGCACCAAAGTACGTTAATCTCTAGGAGACAGAATGTGTCTCCTTCCTGAGCGGTATGACGGCTGTCTGGTTCCATGGTGTTTATACTTGCGTACTATTGTTTGTACAGATGAACGTGGTACTTTCAGGCGTTTGGAAATTGCTCCCAAGGATGAACCAGACTTGTGGAGGTCTACCATTTTTTTTCTGAGGTCTTGGCTGATTTTCTTTTGATTTTCCCATGATGTCAAGCAAAGAGGCACAGAGTTTGAAGGTAGGCCTTGAAATACATCCACAGGTACACCTCCAATTGACTCAAATGATGTCAATTAGCCTATCAGAAGCTTCTAAAGCCATGACATAATTTTCTGGAATTTTCCAAGCTGTTTAAAGGCACAGTCAACTTAGTGTATGTAAACTTCTAACCCACTGGAATTGTGATACAGTGAATTATAAGTGAAATAATTTGTCTGTAAACAATTGTTGGAAAAATTACTTATGTCATGCACAAAGTAGATGTCCTAACGGACTTGCCAAAACTATAGTTTGTTAACAAGACATTTTGTGGAGTGGTTGAAAAATGAGTTTTAATGACTCCAACATAACTGTATGTAAACTTCCGACTTCAACTGTACATACGCGTGCATGTATGTGCGGCTATCAATTACTCAAAAGTCCAAGCATCTGTCTGACCTCTAAAATATTTTGATCTTCTTTTGTTCTCATGTGTGCCTCAAACAAGTCAAGTGGGAATTGAACCCCAGTCCCAAACAGCATTTGAGGATTTCAGACTGATCCACTCAACTCATTTACAGGTCCAATGAACTGGCAATCAAGTGGTTTGTGACAATAAAAACTGCACACACTTGACAAGCCCTAGCTGAATTTGTGGACCTTGTGAGCGTCAGAGATTTAGCTAACAGTCATCAAAGAAATTGACTGGAGACATGTCTATCCTTAACCTTGACATGGAGCACTTGACTGGTAAATGTGTTTTTTTTGTGCTAGTGTCAAGATGACATGACAATAGCCCCTTTGCAGAAAGTAGCCTGAGTGTTTAGGCCGGCCTTGTACACTCTTGAAGGTACACCAGAGTGTGATCTGTTTTGATGTGAGCCATAGCAGCGATGTTTTCAAGCACGTAAAGCCCTGATTCTAATGTGCCAGCACGTTTATAGGGCACAGTTTCTGACAATAATTGAACATGGTCAACATTCTGGTCTCCAGATGTGAAAGGGTAAACAAGATTCAGAGCACTGGTGGATGTTTTATTCTAAAGCAGGGATGGGCAACATGAGGGGCATCAGTGGCTCACAGGTCTGCGTACCCACATCCAGACCTACACATCAGCGTTTCCGTTAGAAAAATGTGGCACGGGACATTTGACCGGCAGCATTTTAATTTACTGGACATTTGAGAAATGTACTAGACGCATATGAATTGGCATCCATCCACTGTGCTCAGAATGAAAGAAATCACATTTAGATTATGGTAATTTATATTTTTAGAACATTCAACTTGAGGATGCAACGACATGCGTCTTTCTTACTTAATTCCATTGCGCATTTGAAGATGTTAGAATAACTGTCCACATTTGACTTTTCCTCAGCCAACAAGATGAGTAATGAACAGCAAAATCACTACTCTATCTACTATCCCCATAGAAAAAAAGTGTACCTATTCTATTGGTCATCCTGTCGTTCTGTGCGAGAAAGAAATAGCCCATTCCAAACAAACTCTGGGACAGTTGTGGAATGATAGATCCCAAATTCATACAACCAGTAGGCCTACGCTACGTCTATGTAATGTATATATAAAATTTTTTTATGAGGCTGATACAACAGATCAGAACATTTAGCTTAAAATGTTGATTAACTATTATTTCTTCACATTATAAGTGCAGCAATGAGCACAAGGCAGTAGACTACGTGTGAATGTTGGTTCCATAATGCAGTTAGCAGGAAAACACTGTTGTCAAAAGCACACCGCACATGGGAGAGGTTTTATGACACAGAGATGAAAATATCCGTTAGAAATTTAGGAGGGGACATCTAAAGATCCATCAACTAGCATGGGTTGCTAATATGATTAGGATTGTGCCTTTTGGCTACTGGACAATTAAAGAAAGTTGATTTTGAAAACCAATAGAAATTGAGGGAAATAGGCTACTGGTTTCAATGGCATATGGAATTGGGCTTATAAAACATATTACCTCAACTACCCTGTGCCCCTGCACATTGACTCGGTACTGGTAGTCCTTGTATATAGCCTCATTATTGTTATTTTATTGTGTTACTATTTATTTTTCTACTTTTTAACTCTGTTGTTGTTGGGAAAGGGCTCGTAAGTAGGCATTTCACGGTAAGGTCTACACCTGTTGTATTCGGCGCATGTGACAAGTACGATTTCGATTTTAAAAGCATGTTTCACTCCAGCAGCAACAGGAGCTGTAGCAGCAGCTCTCGCTCTGTCTGACAGATTTTCCCGCTAAAACTAGGTTCTATATCTGTATGCTGTGCGTGTGTGATAAATAAGATATATAATGACTAACGAAAATACACAAGTGCCAATTTAATTCCACTAAATTATGCAAACTACATAACAACATAATGGCAATCATTTATTTGAATGGTAAATCTCTATAGATAAACTGGGTAAATCAAGATGTACTGTACCCTAGGCCTATCCACAATACTGCTGTTGGAGCTAGGAACACAAGCATTTCGCTACACCTGCAATAACATCTGCTAAATATGTGTATGTGAACAATAAAATGTCATTTGATTTGAATGCATATTCAATAGGAGTGTGTGCATGCATTGAGTTATTGAGCTTGTTTTGGCTGATGACAAACAATCTGTTTCCCTTCCATTTGGGACTTCTTTTATTGTACTGATCAAAAACATTTGCATAGAAGTAGCTTCTTTTAAAAAAATGTGCGCTGTCTCTTTAACCAGTAATGACATCATTTACAGAGCACAGTCAGTTCGCTGAGGCAATAGATCATCTTTGGGAGAGACGTGAGAGAAACCAAATAAGTGAATGAATAAAGTTTTTGGTAGCAATCATCTTTGAAATCAGCATATTTTGCGTTATATTTAGCATATTATCACAAACAAGGTACTAGGGTAGTGAATTGATGTTAGCGTTCACTGTCAGCTAGCATAGCAAAGAAAGTTTACCTACAAAACTGGAAGCTACCGGCATCTTCTTGCATTGTAAAGTGTTCTAGCCTGTATGGACATTGTTTTGCGAACAGTAATGAACAGTTTCATCATTTCTACATGCTATGTCACATTATTCAAGTGTGTTAACTTCTGTGCAAAACATTTTAGCTGCTCCCCTCTTGACAGTGGAGTGATTTTTGTTTTAATAGTTAATTTCCTGCAATTCTACACATTTTGCCATGGGCCGTAGAGAACATTTTGCAGTTTTAAAGCAAGTTTGCTGCAATTCTACACATTTGACAGTTTTTAATGATATCTGAGTGAGAGTGACTAACAAAATCAATGGGGGACCCCCCGGTTGGTAATTCGACCATGATTACTACATTTTAGTCATTTAGCAGACGCTCTTATCCAGAGCGACTTACAGTTAGTGAGTGCATACATTTTCATACTGGCCCCCCGTGGGAAAACGAACCCACAACCCTGGCGTTGGAAGCGCCATGCTCTACCAACTGAGCTACAGGGGACTACAAGTTTAGATAACTGGCTAGACTTACCTATCTACAAATGTTTAGCTGGCATGGGCTAAATGAGTGACTGTCAATGACTGACATAAAAAGAGAAACTGCTGATGCACAGTAACATTTTGAAATTGCACCTTGTGTATTCTACTATTCTAACTCTCAACTTTAAGTTGAGACCCTGACTGAGTTGGTGCTATTCTGTTTTTCTAAATGAGTCTGTATTGCTTCGGTGTGAAGATCATTGGCAATCAATGTTTTAAGCTGTTTGACCTACACCAAAATAAAGTTATAATAATCTCACATTTTCCATTCTACTTTATATAGGCTACATGGATTACTATTGATGGTGATCAATTCGGTGATATAGATTGATTGTCATTTTGTGTCCTTCAGTTGTCTGTGTAAAAGTTTCAGTGGCCTTTTCTCTGGCAGGCATTTGTGTTGTGGAATGCAGACGACGGCGTATCCCTCCCTCCCAGTTGCAGGCCAGCCGCCTCTCCTGCTGCCAGTCGGTCTCTCCAGGGGTTAAAACCACAGACCGGTTTAAACCGGTTCTCAGGGAAGTGCTTTATGTCTCCCGTGGAATCTTGGGAAGGGTCATGTGGAGCTCTGCTCTGGTGATGTCACAGTGGATGAAAAAGACCTTGAGTCAGCAGCTTTCTTTATCTGATGGGAGAAGTGTGTACACAGGTATACAGTGGCTGCCCCAATGATTGTTTAGAACCTCTATAAGGGGAGAGATGAGGCAATTATATTTACTCAAGTGGAGACCGCAGGCTAGAAGTGCAAAAGTCAGACAGTTTGAAAGGAGATAAGAGTAGGTCTAATGTTATTCCCAATCCAATTCCCTGTACCCCAACTCGAGTCCAGAACGCACACACTTTCGAGTCGAGGACACTCTGATTCTTGTTTCAGTTCATAACCTGCGTTTGTGTGTCTGTCTGTGAGATATTTGCATGTCTGTGTGAGTGATTCTTTATCCATGGTGTTGTGCAGTGTAATAGTTGTGGGTGAAGCTGGTGTTTGGGCTGAGTGGGTCTCCCTTCTCCATCCTCTGCTATTACCGTAATGAGGGGGGAATTGGGTCAGCATCTGGGGAGCTGGCACTCAGAGACAGGCCTGTGTTGCAGTCAGGTCAGTCAGACAGAGAGCCCCCCTCCCCAGTACAGCTGGAGGAATTAATACCCGGCCTGCTACCACAGTCCACACTCCACTGATATGGGTGCCTCAGTGGGCATTTAGGTTTCATTTGTGCTGTTTTCATTGGTAAAGTGCCTCATTGTTGAATTGGCCCAGTTATTTCCCCCACAGGGGTTTTTCTATTGCACTCCTCATTATCAACCAGTGTTTAACTTCCAACTCATTTTGAGGCGGTGCGTCATTAGCTATGCTGTCCACAGACACTGACCTGTGTGTGTTTATCCATATCTCTAACCCCCGTCTCTCTCTATCCCAGGTAGAGCGATGTCGGAGGAGGCGGTGCGTCAGACGCGCAGCCGGAAGCGGGCCCTGGAGAGGGACATGGTGGCCCCTGGCAGCCCTGGAGGGGAGCTGGACAGTAAGAAGGTAAAGCTGGAGAACTGTGACCTGTTACCTGCCGCAGACGGACCTATAGCTCTAGTGGCTGTGGGTGGAGGAGGAGATGTGGTGAAGACTGAGCAGACAGCCAAGGTGGCCAGCATGAGCATCCTGAAGACCGGTGAGGTCAAGGCTACCGTCAAAGTGGAGGTGCAGACCGGGGACAGGCCTGTAGATATGAGCACATCCAAGAGGTGAGACAAACTGATTACATACACACACACACACACACACACACACACACACACACTCACACACTGGTAGCCTACACTCTGACTGGCTGTACATTTGAACCAGTCCTAACTGAACTGTGGTACCCTCAGACGCTGTCTATTTTGGTTAATAGTATTACCGTCACACTCTGGATTTAGATTTCATTTTAGAATGTTGCTCTAAAATGTTTTTTTCCCATCTGGCCTGTGGTGCATGTTTACAATATGATGGATTGTCTCTGAGTCTGTACAGGGTCAATTTAGGTGATTAGATTATTCTACTGCTTTGTTTTGACTGGAAAGGGACATTTGCTTGACAACGACTGTGTGTGTGTTTGAACTACTGTCTGCACTAGCTAGCGAGTGGGCTTCTCACACAGGAAGTGCATGTCTGCGCTCCCTCGGTTCTGGGTGGCCTGTCCCCATTTTGAAAAGTTTGAGGCTCCGGCTGACTGCCTCCATTTTCTCCAGCACCTGAACTCTGCCTCACTTTACACAAAATGAAGGTCACAAACTGTCACAAACTGGTTCCAGCTGGCCGTTGCCATGGTTTCCACATTGGAAGGAGCAGTTGGGGAAGGCAGGGCTGTTGTTGGGTGGGTGTGTCACATGACCAGGGCAGGGAAATTCCTGATGTCATGTGATCTCTTCACTCAGTAGAGTGATTAAAATACACTGGAGGTGAGCGCAGTAGTGAGAAAGGAAGATGGCCTCCAAGGAAGGGCCTTTTATGTATCGCAGAAGTTTGCCCTTATGTCACCTTTTCCTGTACTGCTATAGTTTAAATGTATTTGATTGAACTTGTAGCGTTTGCACTGCAGAGGAGATCTAGCGTTTTGATCCAACTGTTTCATAATAATATAATAATAATAATATGCCATTTAGCAGACGCTTTTATCCAAAGCGACTTACAGTCATGCGTGCATACATTTTTGTGTATGGGTGGTCCCGGGGATCGAACCCACTACCTTGGCGTTACAAGCGCCGTGCTCTACCAGCTGAGCTACAGAGGACCACTGTGCAGGGTGCAGAGGGCTAGAATACGCAATGCTTTCCACTGTCATTGAATTAGAAATATATTAAAAACACTATTTTGGCCAGATAGATCTTAATAGACTAGCTAGTGAAAACTGTTGATGACGTTTGTCTATGTCCAGTTTCATGAATAGTGGTTTGAAGGAATGCACTTTTTCTACCTGATACTTTGCTCCCATGAGTTTACTAATTCAGTGGAAGTCAATACTGCAGAGTATTTCAGAGAAGCAGTAGCTAGTAGAAACAGAAGCAGTGGCCTCTGGATCTTATGTAACCAGGTACTTGGCTTTTGTTTATGCGTGTCTAATCAGCTTTCAGGGTGGAGGAGATTGCCTTGTCACCACAATAAACCCTCACTTTACCCATTGCCAGGGCTAGGAGTTTCTCCTGGTTAGGTCCTGTGTGTGAGGCCTCCCTATCCATCAGTTTACTCTTTGTCCAACGTGGTCCGTTGCTTTACAAGGCCCCTGTATAACCAGCTGTGGATGGTGTGACTGTGAATCATAGCTACTGTATCTCCCTCTGCCTCCCTTCTAAACTGAACCAGCCCTCAGCCCTGTTACCACAGCAGGGCTCTGGGATGTTTTGCACCAGCCAGGGAGACTGTGCCCTTGTTGAGTGTCCTACCCTCTGCAACGTAGCCCAAGACACACATGGTCAGTAAATGAGTGAGTGAGAGTGTATACAATAGGCTGGGTCCTAGCCATGTTCCCCTCCCCCACCCCTTTCACTCTCCCCTCCAGTGTCTCCTGTAGGCCTCTGCTCTGCGACTCTGGTGTCAGCAACTGGGAGGGGTGGGGCCCTGACCTACCGGGCCCCGGGCACAGCTACTGTCCCTACCAAGAGTCAACATGCCCCCCCCCCCCCCACAGGGTACGATCGGGACGGAGGGGGGAGCATTCCATCTCCTCCATCGGCCTTTCACTCCCCCTCTCCGTCACAGGCTCCACGCTGCATACCGCTGCTCCCCTTAGTCCTCCTCAGGCTGGAGGAAACAACAGCTAGCTACAGCCACAGATGGAGCAATGAGGCCAGATCTAATCTCCCTGGAACATTTTAGTCATTTAGCAGACACTCTTATCCAGAGCGACTTACAGTTAGTGAGTGCATACATTTTCATACTGGCCCCCCGTGGGAAACGAACCCACAACCCTGCCGTTGCAAGCGCCATGCTCTACCAACTGAGCTACAGGGGACTACAACTTACAACTTGTGGCTGAGCCTTGGTCATAAACTCACTAATTTTGGGCCTAGTTTCTGACACTACCATACCAGTGGAAATATATGAAGAGGAGGCTCTTATTCAGACCGGGCTCCCACTTCACCATGATTGGTCTATCAATTTCAGATCGACTTGGTACACTGTTCACTCACTCATAGACCACTTAAAAGTTATCATTTACCGCCCTCTACTGGACGAATGCTGATACTGTCTGTCTGCATACTGGCCCTTGTGGCCATCATTTGTAATATGATTAGTGAGTGTTGTGTGATCACACACAAATTAATTTGTGTGAGGAAAGAGGGTTTGGCTTTCCATATCTTCTTTGCTTTCCATGTCTTATTTTTGCCTACTACTAATGTCGAGTTTAGTTATTTAGTTTTCGTTTGTTTCTCTCTTCTCTCAGTGACGTAAAGAAAGAGAGGGAGCTCCTGTCATCAAATGATGATGTCATAGTGCTGTCAGACAACGAGCCGTCCATCCCCATCATGAACGGCCTGAACCACTACAGAAAGACAGACACTGACCTGCTCATGGTACGACTATACACACACACAGAGAGAGAACGACTCCTCTCTTTGTGCAACTCCCAATGTGTCTTCATCCTTCATGGATTCAAATAAATTCGAATGTAATTGTGTGTTTGACACACCGCTGTCTTCCCGTGTGTAGAAGAGCAGGCCAGATGAGAGGGAGCACGTCATCAAACAGTTGAAGGAGGAGCTGAGACTACAGGAGGCCAAGCTGGTGCTGCTGAAGAAACTACGACACAGCCAGATCCAGAAGGAGAGCGCTGTACAGAAGGTATCTAAACAAACACACACACATACACACACATACAGTGTATTCAGACCCCTTGACTTTTTCCACATTTTGTTACCTTACGGCCTTATTCTAAAATTGATTAAATATTTTTTTCCCCTCATCAATCTACAAACAATACCCCATAATACCCCACAAAGCAAGATCAGGTTTTTAGAAATTTTTGCAAATGTATAAAAAATAAAAAACGGAAATACCTTATTTACATAAGTATTCAGACCCATAGCTATGAGACTCGAAATTGAGCTCAGGTGCGTCCTGTTTCCATTGATCATCCTTGAGATGTTTCTACTTGATAGGAGTCCACCTGTGGTAAATTCAATTGATTGGACATGATTTGGAAAGGCACACAAATCAAATCAAATGTTATTTGTCACATGCGCCGAATACAACAGGTGAAGACCTTACAGTGAAATGCTTACTTACAAGCCCTTAAACAACAATGCAGTTTTAAGAAAAATAAGTGTTAAGTAAAAAATAGATAATAAAAATTAAAGAGCAGCAGTAAAATAACAATAGCAAGCCTATATACAGGGGGTACCGGTACAGAGTCAATGTGCGGGGGCACAGGTTAGTCAAGGTAATTGAGGAAATATGTACACCTGTCTATATAAGGTCCCACAGTTGACAGTGCATGTCAGAGCAAAAACCAAGCCATGAGGTCGAAGGAATTGTCCGTAGAGCTCAGAGACAGGATTGTGTCAAGGCACAGATCTGAGGAAGGGTACCAAAAAATGTCTGCAGCATTGAAGGCCCCCAAGAACACAGTGGCCTCATCATTCTTAAATGGAAGAAGTTTGGAACTACTAAGACTCTTCCTAGAGCTGGCCGCCCGGCCAAACTGAGCAATCGGGGGAGAATGGCCTTGGTCAGGGAGGTGACCAAGCACCCGATGGGCGCTCTGACAGAGCTCCAGAGTTCCTTTGTGGAGATGGGAGACCTTCCAGAAGGACAACCATTTCTGCAGCACTCCACCAATCAGGCCTTTATGGTAGAGTGGCCAGACTGAAGCCACTTCTCAGTAAAAGGCACATGACAGCCCGCTTGGAGTTTGCCAAAAGGCACCTAAAGGACTCTGACCATGAAAACAATATTCGCTGGTCTGATGAAACCAAGATTGAACTCGTTGGCCTCCATGCCATGTGTCACGTCTGGAGGAAACCTGGCACCATCCCTATGGTGAAGCATGGTGGTGGCAGCATCATGCTGTGGGGATGTTTTTCAGCGGCAGGGACTGGGAGACTAGTCAGGATCGAGGGAAAGATGAACGGAGCAAAGTACAGAGAGATCCTTGATGAAAACCTTCTCCAGAGCGCTCAGGACTTCAGACTGGGGTGAAGATTCACCTTTCAACAGGACAACAACCCTAAGCACACAGCCAAGACAATGCAGGAGTGGCTTCGGGACAAGTCTCTGAATGTCCTTGAGTGGCCCAGCCAGAGCCCGGACGTGAACCCGATCAAACATCTCTGGAGAGACCTGAAAATAGCTGTGCAGCGACACTCCGCATCCAACCTGACAGAGCTTGAGAGGATCTGCAGAGAGGAATGGGAGAAACTCCCCAAATAAAGGTGTGCCAAGCTTGTAGCGTCATACCCAAGAAGACTCAAGGCTTTAATCGCTGCCAAAGGTACTTCGACAAAGTACTGAGTAAAGGGTCTGAATACTTATGTAAATATGACATTTTGAGTTTGTTTTATTTTATAAATTTGCAAAAATTTCTAAACCTGTTTTTGCTTTGTCATTATGGGGTATTGTGTGTAGATTGATGAGGGGGAAAAAACAATGTAATACATTTTTGAATAAGGCTGTAACGTAACAAAAAGTTGAAAAAGGGGTCTGAATACTTTCCAAATGCACTGTATACACACACATGCACACATACTCACACACGTATGCAAGCACCTGTGCACACAGGCACACAGGTGCGCACACACACAGGCACAGAAGTACACTCACACACGCACAAAGCTTGCCATCAATAGTCTGGTCTCTCTCTCTCTTCTCTTTCTCTTTTCTTCTCTCTCTCACTCTCACTCATTCACTCACTCTCTATTTCTCTCCCTCTGTTCTCCAGCCAACCTCTGGCTCTGTGGCCACTCCTCCACCTCTGGTCAGAGGCAGCATCGCATCAGGCAAAGGACCGCTACAGGTACAGACAGCTACTGCTCATTGCCACTATACCATACAACAATCATTACATTACTGCTATTATCAGAATCACCTTTATTCGCCAAGTACATTTACACATACCCAGAATTTGCCGTAGTGTGAAGGTGCTGCCAGCAATAGACAATATACAAACAGAATAGAGACACATGGCCACATAGACATCATACAGAATATATACAATGTCCACCTCAACGGACATTTAACCTGCCCCCACCCAATGGACATTTATCATGCTGAATAGCCACCACTAGTCAGCCCACTGCTCCCCTTGTCCCCCTCCTGCCCCCCCCCCCTCCCGGACTCCCCCCCGTTTCTCTCCTTATAGACATTCCCCCCCCCCCTCAACTGACATTTTCCCTGCCCCCACCCCAATGGTCATTTATCATGTTACAGTTGTAAATATGTATATTGTTATTATTATTATTTATATTTTTATTAATTTTTCTGTTATTCACTTCCCTTTGACCTGCACTGTTGGAGCTTGAAGCTTAATATTTGCACTGTACCCTGCATTTACATCTGCAACCCTGTGCATGTGACTAATAAACTCCCTCTCTAAACATTAAACTCTGGAGTATAGGCTGATTACAGTGGGAATATACAATTTACAGAGGGGATATATCTATCTATAAACTGGGTGGTTCAAGCCCTGAATGCTGATTGGCTGAAAGCCGTGGTATATCAGACCGTAAACCATGGGTATTATCAATCAATCAATCAATTTTATTTTATATAGCCCTTCTTACATCAGCTAATATCTCGAAGTGCTGTACAGAAACCCAGCCTAAAACCCCAAACAGCTAGTAATGCAGGTGTAGAAGCACGGTGGCTAGGAAAAACTCCCTAGAAAGGCGAAAACCTAGGAAGAAACCTAGAGAGGAACCAGGCTATGAGGGGTGGCCAGTCCTCTTCTGGCTGTGCCGGGTGGAGATTATAACAGAACCATGCCAAGATGTTCAAAAATGTTCATAAGTGACAAGCATGGTCAAATAATAATCAGGAATAAATCTCAGTTGGCTTTTCATAGCCGATCATTAAGAGTTGAAAACAGCAGGTCTGGGACAGGTAGGGGTTCCATAACCGCAGGCAGAACAGTTGAAACTGGAATAGCAGCAAGGCCATTGGTAACCAGTTTATAATAGCAATAAGGCACCACGGGGGTTTGTGATATATGGCCAATATATACCACGGCTAAGGGCTGTGCCTAAGAACAGCCCTTAGCCATGGTATGTTGGCCATATACCATGCTCTCTCGTGCCTTATTGCTTTAATAAGTAGAGGGAGGGATGTACAGCACATTCACACTCCTTGTAATTGTATATCACTGTATCCATTAAATCACTAAGCACATTCAAGCTATCTGTACTAGCTTGTTATCAGTGTGTCTGTTCAACCATGCTATCAGAGGTAATCACATGCATCTTGCTGTGACACTACAGCTGATGTGACATGGCTCTGTTTTGCCTCTACTCGATATGACTTGACAGAATGATTGATTGAATATGACATGAAAGGGACTGGCCACTTGCCAGCAAATGTCAACAGTGATCATGTGGTATCATCACAAGATGCTTTCATGGTCAAGTCTAATTTCCATTAAATCATGATTTACCCAAAAGTCTGAGTTACATGTGGATCTTGCGCAGTAATGTAGTATATATATATATTTATATATACATACACACACACTGGACTCCGATATTGCTCGTCCTAATATTTGTTAATTCCATTATTTTACTTTTAGATTCACGTGTATTGTTCGATATTACTTCACTGTTGGAGCTAGGAACACAAGCATTTCGCTTCACCCGCAATAACATCTGCTAAATATGTGTATGCAACGAATAAAATTAGATTTTTGATTTGATTTGGTTGTGTAAAGTTGAAACCCTGTTGTTGTCGTTTTGTGTCTAGGTGTCGTCAGGCCGTAGCTCAGGCACAGTGATCCCTCCTCCATTGGTCCGGGGTGGGCAGCACGTCCCGTCCAAGCAGAACTCCCAGACCGTCATGCCACCCCTGGTCAGAGGGGCACAGGTAACTTGTACTCTGGTACTTACCATTTCAACTTACTTTAATTGTTGTCTGTATGCCCATTTAGTACTTGTACAATGTGACTTATTAATACGAATTCTACATTCCCTGTATGATCAGTGTATTTTTTTCATATGTTTTCCTGCTACTTTCATGCTTTAAAACACATTTGATTCCTTGGCAGTGAACTCTCTTAACTAATAGACCAAATGCTCAATACTAGTTGGTTCTACACGCAGTGCGCTTGTCACAGTCTATTCCAGTAAATTCATTTTACAGTGATATGGATATTGACATATTTTCTCTCAATCTCCTTTCAATTCAAGGGGCTTTATTGGCATGGGAAACATGTGTTTACATTGCCAAAGCAAGTGAAATAAACAAAAGTGAGAAGACACAAAACAATATAAACTAAACACAAATAGAAATGAACAGTAAACATTGGGCTCTCCATGCCCTCTCCTGCCTCTGTCCCTCTCCCTGTGTGTGACTCCACTCCCCCCTTCCCCTCTCCCTTATGTCCATGTCCTGCCCATGTCCTGTGTGTGTGTGTGTGACGTTGTCAGCCCATCGCGGTGTCTCCCCAGCAGATCGCGTCCCTGCGGCAGCATCAGCATTCAGTGTCGGGCCCCCCTCCCCTGCTGCTGGCCCCCAGGGCCTCGGTCCCCAATGTCCAGGTGCAGGGCCAGAGGGTCATCCAGCAGGGCCTCATCAGGGTGGCCAATGTCCCCAACACCAACGTCCTGGTCAACATACCACAGGTCAGAACACACTCTATCACCCAGGTCAGTCAGAAACACAGTCTATCCACATTACTACATTACTGCCAGGACACCAACGTACTGGCCAGCATTTTATATTAAGACCTCTTCCAAAGAGCACATTTCAGAAATGCATCCCCACAGTGTTGGACTCCCAACAGCACTACTTCTCCATCTAATTTCATCCTGACTAGTGAGTGTGTGTCTGTTCCCCAGGGCTCACAGAAGGGCTTATCTGTGACGTCTCAGGCTGGGATGGGCAGTGGCGTGTCCACGGTCCAGGCCAACGAGTCCCCGGCCGCTCGCCAGGCGGCCGCCAAGCTGGCGCTGCGTAAGCAGCTGGAGAAGACACTGTTGGAGATCCCTCCTCCCAAACCTCCCGCCCCCGAGTTCAACTTCCTGCCGTCAGCAGCTAACAACGAGTTCATCTACCTGATGGGCCTGGAGGAGGTGGTGCAGAACCTGGTGGACACACTGGGACGGGGTGGGTTTATACTTTTATTCAAAAATATAGATTTTTTGCATCAGCACAAGCATAAGGTATTTATGGTAGTACTACGTAGTCATAGCTAATCTCTTACAGTGAGTTTTTTGTTGGCTGCCATGGGTTCTTGTCATTCTAACTCATTGCTCTATTTGAAAACTACTGACCTACAAGGTACATAATACTGACATGTCATTTTTCGGTATTTCGCTCTCAGGCAAGAAACCGGGTCAGTCAGTGACCCCCGTCCCCAAGGAGCCGCACACCTGTGCCCAGTGCAAGACGGACTTCACGTCGCGCTGGCGCTCGGAGAAGAGCGGCCCCGTCCTGTGCGACCACTGCATGTCGTCCAACCTGAAGAAGGCCCTGAAGGCAGAGCACACCAACCGGCTGAAGGCGGCCTTCGTCAAGGCCCTGCAGCAGGAGCAGGAGATAGAGCAGCGGATCCTCCAGCAGGCCGCGTCTCCCGTCTCCAAAACGTCGCCCTCTTCCTCTGGGATGAAGAGTGAGCAGCAGCAGCATGTGCTGGCGTCTCAACAGTACAAGCAGGCCAGAGCCCAGCTCCAGCTTCAGCAGCAGCAGCATAGAGGCATGCCTATGGCCCGCCACCACTCCTCCATCAAGCAGGTCAGCACTGGGACACAACATTACCGCTACACACTACTAACTCATACGGAAGGGGAAGCTTGTCTGGTGTACATTTTCTGATACCTTGAAAAAAAACAACTGTGGCATACTTTTTGATTCTATGAACACATTGGTTAATTACTAACGTTCCTGTTTTCTCCCTCCTCTCTCAGAGCTCTGGTCAGATGTCCCGTAGTGTGCAGCAGGCGGTGGGGTCTCGCGGTGTCACTCACTCGTTCTCCACGTCCTCTCAGCAGCTGCAGAACGCTGTGACCGCAGCCGCGCTGGTGAGCAGGCCAGGTAAGCATGCCATGCGCCCGGCGCAGGGCGCAAAGGGCAGCAGTGGCAGCAGTAACCCCTCGGCCAACGCCAACGCCTGGAGGAAGCAGACCACCGGGAACTCAGGTAGATGAACCTGTACAGGACCGAGACAAGACCCTGTCCTCACCTGCACACTGTGGTCTCTGTCTCTCTCTGTCTCTCTCTGTCTCTCTGTCTCTCTCTCTCTGTCTCTCTCTCTCTCTCTCTGTCTCTCTGTCTCTCTCTATATATACATACATACATACATACATACATACAGGTATCACTAAAGGTTGTGGAAGGTTCGTTTTTACCTCGATGGGGTGACAGTCAGTCTGAGATGTAAATTAGCTTTAGCTAGCTGTCCCCTTCTCTCTCTCCATGCCTTTTCTTGTGTAATTCCCAGGTGGTGGGTTAGACTCATTGTTAGAATGTAGAATCCTTTCATTCATCAGGGCCTTCTACAGGTTGGGTAGTAGGTAGCCTAGCAGTTAAAAGCATTGGGCCAGTAACGGAAAGATTGCTAGTTCGAATCCCAGAGCTGATTAGGTGAAAAGTATGTGCCCTTGAGCAAGGCACGTAACCCTAATTGCTTTTGTAAGTCGCTCTGGATAAGAGTGTCTGCTAAATGACTAAAATGTAATTCATTCATTCCAATAAAACACTAATTGTATTGTCCTTTTATATTCTGCTATTGCTGACACGCTAACAGATGGTACAAGGTATGGCTGTATAGCTTGCAGACACGCTAACAGATGGTACAGGGTATGGCTGTATAGTCTGCAGACACGCTAACAGATGGTACAGGGTATGGCTGTATAGCCTGCAGACACGCTAACAGATGGTACAAGGTATGGCTGTATAGTCTGCAGACACGCTAACAGATGGTACAGGGTATGGCTGTATAGCCTGCAGACACGCTAACAGATGGTACAGGGTATGGCTGTATAGTCTGCAGACACGCTAACAGATGGTACAGGGTATGGCTGTATAGTCTGCAGACACGCTAACAGATGGTACAGGGTATGGCTGTATAGCCTGCAGACACGCTAACAGATGGTACAGGGTATGGCTGTATAGCCTGCAGACACGCTAACAGATGGTACAGGGTATGGCTGTATAGTCTGCAGACACGCTAACAGATGGTACAAGGTATGGCTGTATAGTCTGCAGACACGCTAACAGATGGTACAAGGTATGGCTGTATAGTCTGCAGACACGCTAACAGATGGTACAAGGTATTGCTATATAGTCTGCAGACAGGCTAACAGATGGTAGAGGGTATGGCTGTATAGTCTGCAGACAGGCTAATGGATGGTAGAGGGTATGGCTGTATAGCCTGCAGACACGCTAACAGATGGTACAAGGTATGGCTGTATAGTCTGCAGACACGCTAACAGATGGTACAAGGTATTGCTATATAGTCTGCAGACAGGCTAACAGATGGTAGAGGGTATGGCTGTATAGCCTGCAGACAGGCTAATGGATGGTAGAGGGTATGGCTGTATAGCCTGCAGACACGCTAACAGATGGTACAAGGTATGGCTGTATAGTCTGCAGACACGCTAACAGATGGTACAAGGGATTGCTATATAGTCTGCAGACAGGCTAATGGATGGTAGAGGGTATGGCTGTATAGCCTGCAGATAGGCTAACGGATGGTAGAAGGTGTTTGAGATGTCTGCTGTTTGGGCCTAATGAACGTGTCCCTGGTTCCAGTCCTGTATACTCACTGCTGAGTTTGTTGTCTCCCTTCAGGTGTGACCATGGCCTATGTGAACCCCAGCCTGTCTGTCCACAAGACCACCACCTCAGCCAACCTGGAGCGCCAGCGAGAGTACCTCCTGGACATGATTCCCTCCCGCTCCATCTCCCAGACATCAAACACATGGAAATAACACCACCACTTAATATCAATCTGAATAATAGTCATTCTCATGATTAAACTTAACAATGGAATCCTCTTGGGAAAACAACACCAGATGATCTACTCTCGAGCTATGAAATAAAAACAACACCCACCATCTTCCTTTCTTCCTCTGATGTCCGGAGTCTTCAATTCCATTGTGGAGTACTGGTGTTACTGGGACAGTACAGGGCTCTGAGATAAGCTACATCCCATGAGTCAAAGGGGTTGCACGAACTTAATCTCTCTCAAACAGTTTTGGTGCCCCTCTGCCCTTTCCTCCATGGCCGTATCTGTGGCTCTCCTTGGCTCTGCAGGTGACAGGACAGTTAACATCATCCACTGGGAATTATGCCTCTTCATACTTACTCCACCCCCCCCCCCCCCTTCTACCTATAAGATCCAGGACCGGGTCTCTCTCTGGCCTCAGTGGCAGGCTGGTGGCACCTGACTGACTGACTGACTAGAGGACCATCCACGGAATACGAAAATGGCTTCAGCTTTGCAAAAACTAAATAATAAAAATAAAAACATCTACACACACAGACTGCCTCCTCTTTGAACCGACGGTGGTGCAGAACTGAGGAGAAGCCTAGAGTGTGTCTGGTTATTTTGTATGGTTGAATGTTAGATTATTTTTTCTTTTTTTTTCTGTAAATCATATCCTGTGTCGAGATTGTGCTCCCTACTATTTTGGAATTGGACTCGTGGAGGTCTGTGTGTGAAAGGTAACGTTACTGTTGAGGTGGTTTTACATCTGCTAGTTTAGTGTTTAATTTTTTTTTTAAGACTTGTTTTCTAAGCTGAAAAGAACATGAAGTAACTGACTTAATATGTACAAACATGGAACACATTGTGGGAGGACTATTCTTCTTGAATTTAATTTTAATTTTTATGTAACCTTCCAAAGAAATGGTTGAGCCCAAATGGATCACTTCTTTCTACTGTTTTAACCCTCGTCGTTAAAATAAAGACAGGATGTGCTTTTTTTCTGAAATGCAAAAGAGGAGGGGGAAGGGATGTCATCTTATGAAATAATTTTGCTTTTAGTCATCGGTTGTGGTGCATTACTTTTCTTCTTATAGGCAAATGCAGTCTCTAGGTATACTTAAATACTTTTAGTGTTTTCTTTTACAAGGGAGAGTGTATGAGTTATGTCACGTCCCTTAATTAGCTAGCTAGCTAGCCCATCTGGTGGAAAGGCCAGCGGTATTGCATTTTTATAGGTGGTGCAGTAGAGGGTGAGAAGCTGTTGAAATATGCACCATGCTTACAAAGCTCACTCTCAGACGGAATAAGACGGTGCTGTGTCAGTATATGAGGGCTTACGAGGTCGAGCTTCTGTATCAAAACATGGTTCAGAACTACACAACAGTTCAGTGGCCTAGTAGAAATTAATCTGAAAGGAAATGATCAAACGACAATGCTTTGAATTTAGGTTGTATCTTAATGTCTTGTGCAGCCAAATACATTTTTCATTTTTTTTCCTCCTACAAATGTCCCTGCTTTCTCCTGATAAGTTTTGATAGCAGTGTGTGTCCTCAGAAAGTGCAGTCTTAATTAATACATTTTCATTTGAACCCTGTTGTTTTCTGTAACCACCAAGCTATTTGTCTGATCACCCATTGTTGTTATAATTTTGGTACCTTGTTTTTCCATAGCTGCCCCTAGATCAGATTTCAGATAGATTAATTTGCTTGCATCTCTAATAACACCACATTCTCCATATAGTGAACTACTTAAGATAGAGCTCTGGGTAAAATTATTGAACTATATAGGGTGTAATTTGAGATTCGCCTGTTTGTCAATCTCTTGGAGCCCTGCTCTCAGAACCATGATGGCCGATGGTTAGGGTCCTGGCCAGTGTTCCAGGGGTTATGGCCAGAAGGGATACAGCTTATGTCAGAAATGGCCAAAAATGACTTTTCATAGCAGGTTAGGAGAATTAGGTAAAGGTTAGGAAAAGGGTTAGGGTTAGCTAAAATGCAAAAAATCCAAAACAACTTTTGATGTCAATTTCACATACTGTGCTGTCCTGACTACTGCCTGCTGCTGTTTGACAACCTACACCATTCCGTTTTACCAGGGGTGCTAGTACTGTTTAGCGCATAGCACCTCACCCTTTAAAAATAAATGTACAAGAAATGTTTCTATTTGTTTTTTTCTCTGCTCTGTCAAGTAATAATAATAAAACTAATTTTAACCCCTTTTCCTTTTTATTAAGGGGTTTGTTTGTTATAAAGTGTGTAATATTGACTTGAATGACTTGCTGACTTTTTTAAATGTTTTAATTATTTTTTTGTAGGCCTATTGGAGTGCACCTTGTAGTTTATAACAACATGATCAGGCTTATTGGCCTGACCTTTCAAAGCCATATACAGTGAGGGGAAAAAAGTATTTGATCCCCTGCTGATTTTGTACGTTTGCCCACTGACAAAGAAATGATCAGTCTATAATTTTAATGGTAGGTTTATTTGAACAGTGAGACAGAATAACAACAACAAAATCCAGAAAAACGCATGTCAAAAATGTTATAAATTGATTTGCATTTTAATGAGGGAAATAAGTATTTTACCCCCTCTCAATCAGAAAGATTTCTGCCTCCCAGGTGTCTTTTATACAGGTAACGAGCTGAGATTAGGAGCACACTCTTAAAGGGAGTGCTCCTAATCTCAGTTTGTTACCTGTATAAAAGACACCTGTCAACAGAAGCAAGCAATCAATCAATCAGATTCCAAACTCTCCACCATGCCCAAGACCAAAGAGCTCTCCAAGGATGTCAGGGACAAGATTGTAGACCTACACAATGCTGGAATGGGCTACAAGACCATCGCCAAGCAGCTTGGTGAGAAGGTGACAACAGTTGGTGCGATTATTCGCAAATGGAAGAAACACAAAATAACTGTCAATCTCCCTCGGCCTGGGGCTCCATGCAAGATCTCACCTCGTGGAGTTGCAATGATCATGAGAACGGTGAGGAATCAGTCCAGAACTACATGGGAGGATCTTGTCAATGATCTCAAGGCAGCTGGGACCATAGTCACCAAGAAAACAATTGGTAAAAAACTACGCCGTGAAGGACTGAAATCCTGCAGTGCCTGCAAGGTCCCCCTGCTCAAGAAAGCACATATACAGGGCCGTCTGAAGTTTACCAATGAACATCTGAATGATTCAGAGGAGAACTGGGTGAAAGTGTTGTGGTCAGATGAGACCAAAATCGAGCTCTTTGGCATCAACTCAACTCGCCATGTTTGGAGGAGGAGGAATGCTGCCTATGACCCCAACAACACCATCCCCACCGTCAAACATGGAGGTGGAAACATTATGCTTTGGAGTGTTTTTCTGCTAAGGGGACAGGACAACTTCACTGCATCAAAGGGACGATGGACGGCGCCATGTACCGTCAAATCTTGGGTGAGAACCTCCTTCCCTCAGCCAGGGCATTGAAAATGGGTCGTGGATGGGTATTCCAGCATGACAATGACCCAAAACACATGGCCAAGGCAACAAAGGAGTGGCTCAAGAAGAAGCACATTAAGGTTCTGGAGTGGCCTAGCCAGTCTCCAGACCTTAATCCCATAAAAAATCTGTGGAGGGAGCTGAAGGTTTGAGTTGCCAAACGTCAGCCTCGAAACGTCTGACCTCTGTGATTGCCAACAAGGGTTTTGCCACCAAGTACTAAGTCATGTTTTGCAGAGGGGTCAAATACTTATTTCCCTCATTAAAATGCAAATCAATTTATAACATTTTTGACATGTGTTTTTCTGGATTTTTTTGTTGTTATTGTCACTCACTGTTCAAATAAATTTACCATTAAAATTATAGACTGATCGTGTCTTTGTCAGTGGGCAAACATACAAAATCAGCAGGGGATCAAATACTTTTTTCCCTCACTGTAGGTCACCAGGGATTAAGTATTTATTGCACTCACAAATGCATCATCAATTGAAGTTACATAAGATTGATCAGATGTTACTTAAATTCAAACAGTGGGCCTATATGGAAAAGCCATAACATGAAAATGACAGTTGTGTTCTCTCAACTCTTCTATCTTGGCAATCCATCAAGTAGGTACAGCAGCACGGCATGAATTAGAATTCAGCAGAATGTAAATGTCCCATCAATAGCAAGGCGTGCGTAAAATCCTCGGGATGCCCTTAGTGCTCAATTCTGTCGACCACCTTTGGGATAAGTACAGCTGGGAGGGAGTTTGGTCAGAGGGAAGTGTGTCTTCATTTTTCCACGCTTCTCTTTTCCTAGAGATTATTCTCCCTCAGGCCCCTCTTTACTCCAGTGGTTTGGCGAGCGCAGCGTTGTGGTGCGTCGGGCGTCCGGTCATGCCTCTCCAAAGCAGTTTCTTTCCCCCTCGATTGTTTGACGCTCAGCTCACAGGCCGCGCGCTGTCTTTGGTTCAAGAGAAGAGACCTGCGTCTCTCTGCTTGACATTTTGAAGCTGAGCATTTCGGGAGTGCTGTGCCTGTGTAGATTTGTGCATAGTTGCATATTTAACGGTCAAATCCTTTTGATTTACAGGTGTAAACGAACCTTCAGATATTGTTACAATGGAATATGACTTATCTGTTTCAACAGGTCAGTTGGTAGGTTAAATATCATTGAAAAATGTTTGCTCCATGTGTGTTTCATTACTAATGGCAGAGAAAAGTAGGCAGGCCTACAGTCCTACAAATTATTTAATGTTTTACTTTTTGATTGTAGCTTTTTGTCTCCAAACAGTCTACTTTATAGCTTTATATTGTTCAAAAGATAAAATAACAATGAATACATCTGAATAAATTAGTACATGAATACACCTACAATATGTCCAGCAGCTGACAGCTAATAGCTATTATTAGCCTAAATAGGGAAACAAATGAAAGTGGTCGGATTTCCAATTAGGCTACACATGATTTAATCACGCACATCCTGGCCTCTTGCCTATTGCAACCAAGACTGCTCTGCCTCCTGTTGGATAGTCGGGCGGGAAGAAGGGCTGAACTGCTCTTCCACTGTGACGTCATCCAGGTAGACCAAGGCCTTGCGCTGAGCGCGAGGGAGTTTGCGGACATTGGAATCGTCGTACGGCATGCACCCAGTGACCATGACATACAGAATCACACCCAGGCTCCACACGTCATATTTATTGGGGTCATATGGGACTCCGAGCAGTACCTCTGGTGGGGCATAGGCCGCAGAACCCCAGTAGGTGCTGCTCAGCTCAGGATAGCCCATGGCAAACCTCCCAAAACCAAAGTCGGTGATCTTGACCTGGTTGTCCCTATTCAGCAGCACATTCTCACATTTCATGTCTCGGTGGACAATGTTGTTTTGATGGAGATAGTTCACAGCACTGACAATCTGGAAGAACATGGTCTTGGCTTGGGCCATAGGGATGGAATTGACCTCTTGGATTTTTTGGAGAAGGTCGGTTGTTGCCGCTTCCATTACGATGTATAGTCGGCCGTTGCAAACCTCGATGAATTCGTGCACATGGACAATATTGTCATGTCTCACTCCCCTCAGAAGTGTCAGCTCCCTGGGTAGAGACTTGTGGACAAAGTCGTGAGGAGCCTTTTTGCGGTCCACAATTTTTATGGATACCTCAGAATTGTGTTTCTGGGAGCTGGCCAGTTTGACTTTGGAGTAGCTTCCCTCGCCGATTGTCACCCCCAATTTGTAGCCCATCCCGCGCAGAACTTTCTCCGTGCACATTTTCAAAAAGGTATGTTTGACTTACTGCTTCAAAATGTGTCTGGCTGCTGCCCCATCGGGTCATGAACCCCCGGTGGTCACACGCTCGACCAATTTGAGGAACAGTTGGGTGTCTCACTTGGTGGTGACAAAGTATTGATAAAAAAAATGGAGAAACATATTTATAAAGTTACGGTCGTGTTTGCGCGTGCATTATGACGACATTAGTATAACATAAAACCATAGACATTAAAACTAGCAAAACCTGCCAGCACATGAGGGTTGTTTAGCGTCAGTGGCATGTTGAAGCCTATATCACCACATACTACTGTATCTGATCAATAATAAATACATTTCTATCTTATTCTGCCTGCCTGGCTGTATGAAATATAACAAAATCCTTATGGTTGGATATTGTTAACTGTAATGTCATCATATGACCTCAGGGTGGCAGACTGCATCAATAATCTCCTTGGCCTCATGCATGTCTCTGTCTATTAATATACAGGTACAGCTGTTTGGGGTTTCCTTTTTTACAAGGACTTAAATAACTCAACAGAAGGAACAAAAAAAAGGAGTCTAATCTAAATTGTCCCCAAAATTGGTGTCCAGATGAGTGTTTTCCCATTGTCCTGTCACTCACCAGACTATACAAACTGACCAAAAACAACTGGAATTTCAATTGTTCATCAAATGAGCAGGCTGTTGGCTGACTGTTAGATAGCAGGCCTGCTGGAATGCTGAACAGGCTAGAATGTTCAGAGCAGCACTGACCTTTCCTGAACAATGTGAGCTATTGTTTGTTATCTTGACCCAGTTAGGAGCCATAGCCCTTGGCTTGGTAGCTATTGGCAATGGTTGTTTCTACTGTACTGTATACACTTCTACTTATGGAGGTTGTGTGTGTTTGTGTCATAGACCTGCATGCATAATTTGTGTGTGTGTGTGTGTGTGTGTGTGTGTTTGTTTGTGTGTGTGTGTGTGCAGTTGGGGATTTACCGTACATTTTAATTATCTTTCATGCTTCAAACATATGATCTCATCTACTTCAAGTTTCTCATCTACTTCAAGTTGCGGGCGCTGCAGTTGAAACCATCAATACATTCAATGCAATACATTCATCTGGTATTTATGGTATTCTGTGATTGTTGTATTATGCTCAATGCCACCAAAGATGTCAAATTCAAATGTTTCTATATAAATGTGTATGCATTTCCAGCCTCCCCCTCTATAAGATGACAGGCATTGTTATTGT